CTTTTGCATTTCTTGTTCTCACAACATACCATACTGGAAGAGGCCAGCAGCCCACCATCCACAAACTAGCAAGCAAGCAGGTCCCCTTATTAGAAAAACACTCCTGTATGAGCCACTGGGGAAAAATTCAAAATGTATTGTGGGAAATCTAGACATGTTTGGGGAAAAAAACAATGTTTTTGGAGCAATAATCTTTTATGTCCTGATGGAGTTTGGAGTTAGAGAGAGAGAATGGGTTCCGTTGGCTTGGGAAAGCTTCCACAGAAGCCCAATAGTTTATTATTATTATTATTAGTAGTAGTAGTAGTAGTAGGCAGCAACAGCCAAATTATTATTATTATTATTATTATTATTATTATTATTATTATTAAATGAAATTGATAAGGTGGAGAGATTGCAAAGGATAGGATTGGTAGAGAAAGGCTGGTAGAACTTGAATTGGTGGTGTTTTTTGCTAGTACAGTTCTTTTGAATACTATTAACAACAATAATATTTTATGTCCTGATGGAGGTGGGAGTTAGTTTTAATAATAGGGTTTTTTTGTTTTTGTTTTGGAGCAATAATATTTTATGTCCTGTTGGAGGTTGAAGTTAGAGAGAAATGATGGGTTCTCTTGGCTTGGGAAAACTTCCACAGAAGCCCAATAGTTTTATTATTATTAGGCAGCAACAGCCACATTATTATTATTAAATGAAATTAAGATGGCAAAGAGCATAGAGAGAAATATAAACAGAGAGAACTTGTGATGAGATTGCAAAGAAAAAATTATTAGGTATTGATGATAAGTTTAGGTAGGGAGGTAGGTAGGTAGGTAGGTAGGTAGGTAGGTAGTTTTTCTGAGAATGAGGCTTTGTTGTTTGCTGGAATTCCAGTAATTATTAACAATAATCTTTTAAAGTATTTTCTGAAAGAGAGGAGGGAGGAGAGATAAGAGAAGAAGCGAAGACTTCAGTGAGTGATTCTAAGCTCAGGGCCACCTTAAAAGAAAAGCACACCCACTCACAATCCTCAAATGCCGTGCACCTACCCACCCACACTTTCCAACTCCCAGTTCCACTAAATAAAGAATCAAGACAATAAAGGAAAATAAAGGAAAACCAAAAAGATTCAGTGCTAGATAGAGACCAAGCCAAGCCAAAACCAAAAGCTATCAACAAAGTAATCAGACTGAAGCACCTCTCTTTAGAGCCAGGACGCAACTGAGCAATAGAGGCGCTCACCCCATTCAATAGACACAGCTTGCGTAAGACACATCATGGCTTTCTTCTATTCTGATTTGCCCAATGGGCAGGGCTCACGGGGAAACCCTGTGCAAACACATGGCAGCCTCTCTGCGCACTGCATGATTCCGAATAGAGCAGAAGAAAGCCATGACTGGTAGCCCTTGCCCCTGTGGGCATCTGAGCAAGCTGAACAAGCTGAAGGCAAACAGCCAAAACGAATCTGTGCACAAATAGGTCTCTACAGTCACTTACGGACCCATCACAAAGACTCTGTTTCTGGAAGACAATCATACTTGGCCATAGGGGATCACCTATGGTGATCAGAATGATCAGGATGATGATACTAGAATATATGCTCGGGAACACTTGCATCAATATGTCACTCTGCCTCACAATTCCCCAATACTAGTTTGATTTTGTTTACTTAACTTTGATGCCACATTAAAATGTTTTAAACCTTCCTAGTGTTGAGTATCCTGGGTGAACTACATTCAGTTCCAATACCAAGTACAAATATATGGGTTAGAAATATTTAATTGGAAGGTGTATATCTGTGGCATCAGGCTCCACCCCATTGTCTTTTTAAAACGCTAAATAGATCTTATAACTATGAAATCTAACCACCCCGGGTTTATCTCATTTCCTTTCTCAAAACTTAGAGGTCCATGTGGGAAGTCGCCCTTTTGAACCTGCATCGTTACATGCATCACATGCCCTTGGCCTTATAAATTGGTTTCATGAGAAACATCTGAAACCAGAGAAGAAAGGGAGGGGAATCAAAACCTCTGGCAAAAAGGGAGTTGGAGACATTTATTAGAAAAGAAAGCTGCGAAGCAAAAAATGTAAATAAAGTACAAATAGTGGAAATATGGAAATGAGCTACATGAAGAAAAACACTACATTGGATTCTCCATAATAATAAGGCAAGAATGAACAAAGGAAACGTGCATATGTACAGCAAGGATAGAATTATGATCAGAACACTAACAATATGAAAGAGCAAAACTGACAGCAAAAGACTGCCCAAAATAGGAGGTTGTCGTGAGAAGCGTGTGGAATGAGGAGACCTCAGAGTCAGCAGCATTTTAAATGTCATATTATTTAAGACACCTGTGTATTGCTTGACACTTGAAAATTTATGAAATTAATGCCTGCCTGTATTCAAACATTCAGCAGCTTTATGGAAAAATCAAGATTGGAATGGTGTTATAAATCACTGCCTATAAAGAGAGGATCAATGTCAGTAGGGGCGAGGGGATAAAACTCTGGGGGCAATGACAACTAAAGAGAAAATCTGTGAAAAATGACTAACACAGTTCTATCATGTGCCATTCAAGCACCAGAAGACAACCAAGTACCACATGCAAAACTCAGAAGATGTGGATGTAGGAATTTTAGCACATGGAAAGAAACAAGATACAGTGTGGAAATACACTGGGGATGTGCTCCAGTCATCTTAGGTAAAACAATAAGGGAGATAATGAGCCACAATAAAGCAGCAAAGAATGTGTAAGAAATTGATAATGCTATTTCCGCTTGTAGAGATATTAAATTAACCAGAAGAAAATCATGCTTGTGGTTAGGCAGGTGAGGGGAAAAACGGTTCAGTGCACTGCTAGAGAAAGATATAAAATGTAATTTACAAGCACGATGGAACTCTTAAAAGACAAGAATAATATACCATGCAACTCCAGGGAAGCCTAAACCTGCTTTGAAATGTTGAGTATAAAGTATAACAAAAAGGAAGGGGGGAAAACACTCACAACCTACTAAGCAAAAAGTCATACAGCATTAAACAAAAAGTCTAAAAGTAAGTCACTGTACAAAAACCAGAAGGGTTGCTGTAGAAATATATAAGGACAATCAAAGAGTAGAGCTTCTTAAGAAAATGGCTGGCTCTGAATCAAAGGTTAGAGGAAATATTTTTGGAAATTACAACCCCAGTGTTCCCTAGACAACTTGGCTAGATTCAGATATATATCAGAATGTTGTCTATTTGGAACAGAGATCTAAAACGATATTTTTGGGACTATGTCATGCAATATTCCCCCAACAATATGATCAGCTACTGATCATATTGTTGGGAGAATCTAGAAACTGTAGTCTTTTATATATTCCCACCACCAGTCTCAAATCATTATTTTTCTGAACAAAGAACTAATGGTCCACCCCACCCATACTCCCTTTAAAAACCCCAAAAATTTAACCAGTGAGTTGTTTTTTTATATATCTGATGTATTTTTAGATTATTCAATTCTTATACTTTATTTCCTAGTGAATCTACACAATGTATTCCTTGTAATGTTAGATGATCAGCACAAATAAAGACATTTGACATTATTTAGAAAAGACAGTGTATTGCTGTTAAGAGCTTCTTCAATTATTTCCCGATTTAATCTGGAAAATAATTCATGGAAACCCTATTCAGATATTCTACAGCCATTCTACATTGTAGCATAATTATTCAATTAAATTCCCAAAATGAAGCTAAAACCCAGCAAGAACTCAGGTATGAGAGGTACAACCTACATTAAGTTCTGTGCAAGCATCATGCAATGCATTTTAGACCTAGGATCTCTTTACATGTACAATTTTTTGGTGGTGGCAGCTAGATTTTTCTTGTTTAGCCACAGTGTCCGATGGCTCCCATCACAGCCCGGATAACTACTTCCGAGGCAGCTCCGTGGCTGATGTGTCGCCATTGCTGAAAAATGGTGACGGTGGACAACAGCAGGCTCCCCGTCTTTAAATAATGAAAGATGGGTCATGCTACCGAAAAGAGCCTTCCCCCATGTGATGAGGAAAGGGGGAAGTCGCAATGGAACAGGGTGTGGGGTGACAGGTCCCCCACATATCAGCATGAACACCAATAACATATGAATAAAACTTTCTTATATACCATAGCACACAGTTAAGTAGTGGAATTAATTTTTCTAGCATGACAAGAGGGCTTTAAAATTTATAGAGGCAAAGACTGCTGGTCTGGGGCTACTGCCCCCTCCCCAGCTGTTCTAAACTGAGGGACTCTATTGGGCTACTCTTTACCATTGATTTCAAGGCTGGGTGTCTTGTTTTGGATGAAGTCTTTGGCCACTTGACTTTTGAGCAAGTAAGACTGCCAATGGAGCTTTGCCAAGGAGTGGGTTTCTTTTGCTTTGGGGTCACTGATACTACCTTTCCTTCGAAATGCCATTTTTTATTCTCCTTCTCAAGGTTGCCTCTTGCTCCTCAGCTGAGCCCAGTTATGAAATCAACTGTGCTCTTTAATAATAAAGTACGATAATAAATATTTAATAAAATGTTAAACATCTGCTTACTATAAAATGTTGTGCATTAACTTGCTTTTCCCTTTCATGACTGCAGCAAGACCAAAAATTTCAGATATGGTTGGCTATTTTTCAAAAGGGCGATATTTGCTGGATGGAGGATATCACCCACAAACTACCCCACTACCTGATGTCATCTTGACCCAGGGTGACATCATAGCAAAAAAAAACCCCTGTAAACTATAGAGTAAGAACTGAGTTATTAAAAATCACATTAAAGCCCAAAACAAGTGCTTTCGCTGTTAACATTCTTGCACATCATGTGTTCCAGCAGCACTAGAATACAGTTTGGTGTGGATTTATTTGCTAGTATAGATGAGGCCTTAAACATTTCCAACTCAATACAAAATTATATCCTAAGGCAAGCCAAGAGGGAATGAGATCACTTCCTAACATATACCATAGTAATGAAACAGACAGCTAAATGAAAAGCGATCTACTCACCCACACATATTCTCCTTGCTTTTTTCTTTCATGATTAGTCTTCAACTTTGAACTCTCAGAATGGGAAGCTATTATGGCTTCCCTCATAGGATTATCATGGGATTTAAGATTTATCAAACACTTTCTGTATCGGGGAAACTGAAGAGAATTAAAGATGAAACTTTTATTATCCTTGCACATGTTAATTCCATCTCCTCTGTTGCTGGTTTCATGTAATCTTTCATATCTGCATTTCTTCCCCCCCACCCCCCGCCCCATTTTTGTAACCCTGTGGTTTCTTGCTACCTTACTACTCCTTGATCTCTGCTAGGTTGGCATTTTTGAAGTGAGGCTTCAATGAAATCACCATTAAGCTAATGTGCGAGCACAGACCATTGAAAAAAGAGAGAGGGAGCTGAAGTTGAAGAAACCAGATTTTCTGGAGTGAGGTGGAATAGGAGCTTTTTCCTATTGCTTGTATGCCAAATTTTGTAAGTATCTGGGAATGTTATATTTTGCAAGTGTCCAGGGATTAAAGCCAGGCTGAAATTTAGTTACTCCCGCTGAATAAGTGATAACTGAATTTTTGCTGGCCAAAGCAAGGATAGCAGCATGTGTTGAAAAGATAGCTGGATAGAAACTGGCAGGGTCAACAACATTCCCCAGTAACAAGATCTGCAGGAGCAGTACCTTTAAAAAAACCTATTAAACAAATCTGAAGGTGCATCAGGTTAAACAAAAATAACTCTGGGAAAAAAGCATTTTTAAAAGTTACCTTTCCAAGGTTATCTTATCAAATGATTTCCAGCCAGCAGTCACTTCCTTCTCACTGCAAGAAATAATATCCAAGAAAGAAAGAGAATCAATACTGCAGAAGACAAAACAGATGTAAAAAAAAACATACTTGGATAAATCCAACAGTTTTTCAAATAAACAATTAATGCAATGTGTGTGTGCCTGTGCACACACACAATAAGGAACAGCTTAAAACCCCTTAGACTGCAATTCTAGACTTTTGTTGCCTGGGATTAAGCTCCATAGAACTCAGTAGTATTAAGTCAGAAATGACACAACAACAATTGCTTCAATGCCTTGTTTTTGCAAGAAGGGCCCCCAAGACTTAGGACCACATCACATGGATGAGGTCCTAAAGGGCGATTTACCAGCCCTGATGGTGAATCAGTGGAGCAGCAGGACAATCTTGGTGCCCCCCCCCTCACCAGCAGCAATGCTTTCCTATCACATATAAGGAGGTGTCATAGGATGCTTGCACCCCAATTCACCAATGGAGCCCACCAAAAGTCAGCCTCCATCTGAGGACATTTGCAGCCCATCGTGTAATGAGGTTGTCAGACTGTAACTAGTAGATAGTGAAGGAAAAGACTGAGAGATAGAGGCATTATACTCTAGAACCGAGAAATACTATTTTGATGGAGAACAAGCAGTGGTTTCATGGGCTACAGGATTTTAGGAGTTATAGTTTCAGCAAGTTAACTTTCTTGCATTCTGCATTACCGCTCTTATTTTTGGATCTCTCACCCTGTTCCAAGGAAGCAGACTCAGGGATTTCATACTCTCTGTTCCTTAATTCTCATTAGCCTGCTAGAAAGCCAACTTCATATGGAAGATATACCAGTGTTACTCAGAGGTTTTGACACAGGGGAGGGATGGGAAAACATCAATATCCAAGCATTAATATAAATGCAAATATTACCAAAATTAATATAAATGCAAACGCTAGCCACCATGCATCAGTAACCTTGCACAGCTTGCAAAGAGGTACAAATTAAAATAATGTTCCTGGTTGGGAATGTAAGAACTTGCCTTATACAGTCAGATGTGCCAGTGAACTATACTGTACTCTTGGATATTGTCAAAACTGAACCCGATTTTGCCCATCTTTAGCAAAACTGGGCAGGGGGGATGTTACTTTTCTGATTTCCAGGGGGCAGAGTCCAGCATAACTGGCATCATGTACCAGAACTCAGGGGAAAGGGGAAGGAACCGAGCCTATTTAAGGGTGATTCTGCTTCTTTCTTGTCCTCTTGACTTCTACCCACCCCGCTTTTTATAGTGTAAACCTTCTGGTCAGTTCAGATCTCATAAAAGTTTTTTTTTCTGTCAACACTACATTATTATGGATAATTGGTTATGGGTGGTGCTTTACATAGGTCCTCAGTGGCAGGTATTAGGGAAATAAACAAATGCAATAAGCACTTTTGTACCCTTTTGATGAAGGATGGGAAGCTGGAACTGCCCCTGAGCAAGTAGGGGAAGTTATTGGTCTTGGAGCTGATCTCAGAATTTTCGCCCTCTCCAGAAACCACGTGGCTTGAGGGTTGACACCTTTGAGTAGCCTTTTGACTTGGTAGTTAACTTGGTAGTATGGAAGATAACAAAAGGAAATAGTCCCAAAACTCAAGTGATGGTGCAATCTCTAGTGGGTTTCTTTTCTGTGTCAGGAGGGACTTGAAACTGCAAGTCACTTCTGGTGTGAGAGAACTGGTCATCTGCAAGGATGTTGCCCAGGAGACACCTGGATTACTGATGTTTTACCATCCTTGTGGGAGGCTTCTCTCATGTCCCTGCATTGGGAGCTGGAGCTGACAGAGAGAGCTCATCTGTGCTCTCCCCGGATTTGAACCTCCAACCTGTCAGTCCTGCCAGCACAAGGGTTTAGCCCATTGCACCACCAGGGGCTCCTTCAAGTGGGAATGACCTGCCAAGAAGAATGGGAGGATCTCTACACAAGAGTTCACGATGGAGGCCTACATAAAATGGAAAGGGTGATGCCTGAAAAGAAAACATGGAGTTGAAAGCACAGAGGGCTCAAGAAATGCCTCCTCTTTTGTTAGACAGAGAAAGTCTGAAAACAGTAAAAAGAAAACACAATAGAGTCTGATCTAAAATCTCTAGTCCTAGGAATCAGAGTTCCAGCAACTTTTTGAGAAAGTGTACAGGTAAATGCTACCCTAATGGGCTAAAATTGATGGCATGCTCCAGTTTAGCCCAGGTCACCATGGAGCCTGCTGGCTCCCATCAAATGACGCTGGCGCGGCTCCGTGAGTAAAAGAGTCAAAGCCTGCCACTGCCACAGCTGGAACATAACATTTTGGAAAATCAAGGCTTTGGATGGAGTACACCTACTGAAAAATTGGCTCTTAATAAGATTGAACCATAACTAGTAGAGATTTAAAATAAAAGACTGCATTGCTGTTGTTGCTGCTGTTGTTGCTGTTGTTGGTGTGTGCCTTCAAGTCATTTTTGTCTTATGGTGACCCTAAGGTGACCCTATCATAGGATTTTCAGGAAACAAAGAGAGTGACTTACCCAAAATCACACAGTTGGTTTCTATAGCTGAGTATAGATTCAAACCTGGTCTCCATAGCCCCACACAAACCACACACTATGCTGTCGTCTTAAAAACACCAGATCCAATCAGAGCTTGAAAGCTTGGCAAGGCTAGCTCTGGTTATTACTTGGATGGGAGACTGCCAACAAATACTCAATTCTGAAGGCTATATGTCAAGAGAATGAACTGGTAAACCATCTCTTCATACTTCTTGCCGAAGAAAGCCCTATGAAGTTCCAGAGGTCACAATAACTAGATATACAACTTGAAAGCATATACACACTGACATTGTATTTTTCTGACTTGATGCCAGCTTAGCATCATACTTATGTGTGGAATTGGGCAGAATTCAGTTTCCTTGTCTGCAGATGTGAGCAGAAGTTTCATTGGGTTTTTTTTCCTGGTCTAAAATTCTTTCTCAGTTTCTCTTCTTTGCTCTTTGTTCTGTGTACATTTGGAATCCAATTCACCACTGTCATTGTATGTTACTGTATTACATTTGTGAACAACTTGAAGTGACAGCTTGTCCTTGGATGTTAAATATATCAGCACAGAGTGTTTCCTATAATTATGTCACTGTTTTGGATTGCAACAAAGGAAAATGAAAAGCTGCACCCTTTAGAATTACCTGTGACAGGTTTCCATAATTATGCGGGAAATATATGTTATTTACAAGAGCAATTGGTGTTAAAATAGGCTGTAAACTATGATAGCTGTTGAGAGTGTCAAGGAACAAATGTTACTGTAGGATGGGTTGCATTTTATCCATTGTAATTATGCCTCCAAGCGCAAGAGTTATTCTTATAAAAGTGAAGAGTTTTTAAATAAAACTAAAACTAAGTGGATGGGTGATGGTTGCAAACAGCAAGTTACTTACGTTGGCTTTCAGTCCAAAAAAAAAAACTCTAGATGGATCTCCCTCTATAGTGAATACTTATTACTGCTACACTTGAGATGGTCATGCACAACCATCTCTGAATCACAACCTGAATACAGCAAAGTGCAAATCACTAATTTGTTACTGTGAGCCTTCATGTCATTTCTGACTCATGGCAACCCAAAAGGCAAACCTATCATGGGTTTTCTTCACATAATGTGATCAGGTGGTTTGTGTCCTTGCCATCCCCTGAGGCTGAGAGAGTGTGACTTATGCAAAGTCACACAGTGGGTTTCCACACCAGAGTACCAATTTAAACCCTTGCATCCCAGTGTCCTAATCCAATAGTCAACCTACTGTATTATGCTGAGTCTTACTATTTACTTGTAATTAATTATTTCATCCAATATTAAAATATGACAGAAACTTAACAAGGAATGATTTAACTTCATTTCCTTTATCTGTAAAAATGTTAACTGTAAAAGTAATTTTATAAATAACTACAAAAATAATTGGTGACTTCACTGAATGGTGGACTAGCCAGCACGTGCTATGCCCCATGTTCTATTGAAGAAACAGAACAAGGGTGTTTTGTATCAGGTCAGGGACATTCAGATGTGTTTTTTCAAAGTAAGTTAAAAGGGCATGAAAAATGTAAAGGTTTTCCCCTTGAGACTCAAGTCATGTCCAACTATGCGGGTTGGTGCTCAATTCCATTTCTAAGCAGAAGAGCCAGCGTTGTCTGTAGACTCCTCCAAGGTCATGTGGCCAGCATGACTGCATGGAGCACCATTACCTTCTTGCCAAAGCAGTACCTATTGATCTACTCACATTTGTTGTTTTTTTTTTCAAACTGCTAGATTGGCAGAAGCTGGGGCTAACAATGGGAGGTCACCCATCCATGGATTCGAACTACCACCTTCCAATCGGCAAATTCAGCAGGTTAGCAGTTTGACCTGCTGTGCCATCATGGCCCTAAAAGGGCATTATTTTAGTTATATTTGGAAAAGAAAAGTGAAGTGTTTATTTATTTATTTAAAACTTTTATATCCCGATCATCTCAACCTCTGTAGAGGGACTCAGACCGGCTTTTTAAAATTAATTATTACAGCTAAAATTTGTAACTAATTAATGTGAAGATTTCAAATAACAACTAATTTTTTCTAAAAAAAAATAACTTTCCTGTGAACATGATCTGTGTATCCAGAAAGACCTATATGGGAAAAAGGTTAGGTATCCTGGTCTTAATTATAATATAAAGCTTTAATAATAAAAACAGTAATTTTGAATTGGAGTGAAAACAAACTAGACGCCAGTATGAAGTGTGTCAGTACACTGGAAACAACTTTTGGACTATAATAGGGTGTGGTTCATATAATATTTTACCATGTGCATACAAAATCATGGAACTAAGTAGGAAAGAATACTTCAGACTGGAATCTTGAGTCTTAAGGCCCATTACAATTTTACTCAACAAAACAATACATCTTGTCCCAAATCATCCATCTTTTCAGCTAACAGGTTCTTGTCTGGATTAAACTTCAATTAATTAGTCCCTGTCTTGTTTTTTTACCACCACATATCTCAAACATTGGTTCAG